TATAAAGATATGTATGGATAAAATTTCAACAATTTATGTTTCTAATATTTTACAATCCAAATGCTTGAGCGGATTGCAAACAAGGATTATTCATTCTTTAAAAAAATCTATTAAAGGGTCAGGGGCAGTTATAATACACTATTATAAAAAATAAACTAGAGCATTTTTTCTTTTCAATCCATGAGTCAATTTTCAGAGGCCTTTTTTTATTTTCAACAATAAAAAAATTAGACCAGAAATAAACTATTAAACAAATGAAATTTTCTCATCTGATTGAATGTAAATTCTCCAGTAAAAGTTTGTGATGCCGATTCGTTTTATGAAAAAAATTTTCCATTAGTTGATAATAATAATTAGTCGTATAATAAAGCATTAATATAAAAAAAAATAATAATAGTCGTACGTTGACATTAGCTTATTATCTCTCAAAGTTTAATGGATTATTAAACATATAATAATAATTTAAACAAATATTTATTTTTTTTACTAAATAATCAATAAAGTAATGTGCAAAGATTAAAATATTTGTGTTAAAAATTTTTTTAATTTCATTATTATAACCTGTACAATAAAGTTTGAAGTACAATATTATTTAGCATGCTATTCAACAGTAGAGTTAAACCCATAGAATAAAATTAAACCCGTACATTAAAAATCTCAATAAAATATGATATCAAGAGAGAATTATGAAATTTAAATAATCAAGAGAATTATTACTCTTCAATTAATATTTTATGAAGTTTATTCAAGCGTTTTAAAATTTACTGGAATTTTTGTCGAGATCACGTTCACTAATTTTTATTTCGCTCATTATTTCCCGTTTGACAACTTTATACTTTCTTCTATAAAAAAAAATCTTCAGACATATTGGGTTCGGTATTTCGAATTTTTAAAAACTGAGTTCTTTGTATGTAAATGTCTCCAAAAATTATTAAGTACCAAGATTCAAGAAAATCCGATAAATTTTTTAAAAATTCGTCTTCCATTTTTAATGTTTGAAAACTAAGATCCAATTTTATATTTAGCAGCCTAAAAGACCCCCAAGTTATTTGAAATATCTTATAGTATTAGAATAATTTTGTATAGCTCTTTGAATAGTTCCCTATTATCTGAAATATCGATCTTATTCAAAAATACATTTTTTATTTACACTACCTTATAAAAAATTTTATTGCGCATCTTATTTTTTCTATAAAAATAATCTGCACACTGCAGGCGGAAATTGTGCGAACGCTAACACTGCTTGTCAATGAAAAACATACTCGCAATAAAATGTATAGATTAATATGTCAAAAAAGAAACTACAGACATTTTTCTTATATCGTTGGAAATCTTATTAAACTGGGAAATCAATCTTTGGAATTTTAGCTTTCAATTAAACCCAAGAACAATAAAAAAATTATTGTTTTTTTTTAAATTCAACTAAACTTCTTCAAAAAAAAAAAAAAATGAATTCAACAGAATTGTTAGTTAAAAGTATGAAAAATTTAAATTTTCAAAGATTCTAATTTGAAACCTATTAAAAATTCAATCATTTCTAAAAATTCATGCTATAATGCTTTTAATATTCAATTATTATCTAAAATTTTAATTAAAATTAATCTTTAAATCAATTTCTATTCGAATATTCGACGAGAATTCAATTAATTAAATACAAAAATAAATAATAATTTATTGAATAATTGAATCAGGGTTGCCACAGGTCGGGGAAGTCAGGAAAAGTCAGGGATTTTTAGTAAAAGTACTGGAAAAAATTGAATTTTAAAAATTCATGAAAAAACTCTGAATTTTGATGTTTTTTTGTTTGCCTCGTAAACTACGAAATTATGTACCACGAATTTTAATACAAAACCTTGAATTTTTTCTATTTCAGACAATAATTTATTTTTAAACAACTTAATTTTACAAGAACTATCATAAAATTATGACTTATAAATTATTTAATAAATCATTTTTACAATTTTCATAAATACTAGATTGATAAAAAAAATTTTAGTTAAAAATACTAAAAAAATTGAATTTTGGAAATGTTACAAATAACTCCAGAAATTCAATTATTTTCAAAAGTGTTGATCTTTATAAGCGAAACGATCGGCAGAATAAATAAAGACACGTTTACGTTCGGAATAACTAAATTTATATTGAACGGGTTTAATCGTGATACATGCCGAGAAGGCTTTCTACAACGAAGTGAAGTCAGTTCCGTGTTACCGGTGGGAACAGTGTTAAAGATGGCGTTAGCGTACAATGATAATAAAGCCCGCGAATAACCGTTTGAATTGAATAATTAGAAGAACTTAACAAAAAGTAATACAATTTTTCGCAGAAATTCAATTATATTCAAAAATTAAAAAAAATTCTGGTCATTTCAATTATATCTTTAAAAATAATAAAATTCTTCTCCAAAATTCAATTATGTTCAAAAATTTTTTAAAAATTCTCGTCAAAATTTCAATTATCTTTATAAATAATACAATTGTATTATTTATAATTATATTCTTCTATATTCTTCTTCGAAATTCAATTAATTTTAAAAACTTTAATAAAATTCTTGGCAAAATTTCACAGGAATAATTCAATAATTTACAAGATTTTTAATAAATTTCTTCGAAATAAATCAATTATTTTCATAAATAATAAAATTTTCACAGGAATTCAATTATTTAATATAAAAAATTTCAAAAATTTTTTCGAAAAATATCAATTATTTAAAAAGAATTTTATAAAATTCGTCGCAGGAATTCCATTGTTTAAAAAAAATTTAACAAAGTTCTTTTCAAGAATTCAATTATTTTTAGAAATAGTAAAATTCTTCGCCGAAATTCAATTATTTGTATAAACTTGAATAAAATTCGTTGGAAGAATTAAATTATTTTCAAAAGTAATAAAATTCTTCGCAAAAATTCAATTATGTTCAAAAATTTTTTAAAAATTTTTGTAAAAATTTCAATTATCTTTATAAATAATAAAATTCTTTAATATTCAATTATTTAAATTTTTTTTTTAAATTCTCGTCAAAATTTCAATTATTGTTATAAATAATAAAATTCTTTTTCAAAATTCAATTATTTTTAAAAACTTGAATAAAATTCTTGTTAAAATTTCACAGGAATTCAATAATTTATAAAATTTTGAATAAATTTCTTTAAAATAATTCAATTATTTTCATAAATAATAAAATTTTTACATGAGTTCAATTATTTAATACCTATACAAAATTTCATAAAATTTTTCGAAAAATATCAATTATTTAAAAAGATTTTTATAAAATTCGTCGCATGAATTCAATTATTTAAAATAATTTAACAAAATTCTTTTCAAGAATTCAATTATTTTTAGAAATAATAAAATTCTTCACCGAAATTCAATTATTTTAGACAAATTTTAATAACATTTTTGGGAAAATTTTTAATTATTTTCATAAATAATAAAACTCATCGCAGGATTTATTTTTTAATTTAAATAATTGAATTCTTTTAGAATTTTCTAATAAAAATTGATTAAAAAATGAATTACCGAATAATCGATTTATTATTTATGAATATAATTAAATTATTGCAACGAATTTTATTACAATTTTTACAAATAATTGAATTTTTTGAGAAAATTTACTACTTTTTAAAAATAATTGAATTCTTGCGAAGGATTTTATTAGGATTTTTGTAAATAATAAAATTTTTTTTGAAAAATTTCATGGTAATTTAAATTATAACAAAACATGAAGAAGGCGATCACTCCGAGTCTTCGACTCGGAGTGATTGCCTTCTTTATGTTTTGTTATAATATTCTTATAAATTGTTGAATTTCAAAAAGGTTTGAATTTGAATGTATTGAAGAATTTTAATTCCTACAAAAATAATAATGATTAAATATTTAGTTAAAAAAGAAATTATTGATGTTTATGAATAATTTTACAATTAATTAAATTTGTAAATAAATGTAATAGAACATTTTTTGGAGTTTCTAATAATTTTTAGAGTGAAACAGAATATTTTTTAGGGTCAGGGAAAAAGTGAGAATTTTGTCTGGAAATCAGGGAAAAGTCAGGGAAAAATAAAATTAAATATTTGTGGCAACCCTGTGAATGTTTCTTAAAATTGAATTTTCATAAAGAATTAAATCAAAATTTCTTAAAATAATTTTTTTTTCAAAGAATTTTAAGAAAATAGTTGAATTTTTTGGGATGTTAAGAAAATCGTATTGTAATAATTAAATTCCTGTAAAAATTTTACTATGTATTTAATATGAAAGTCATTGCATTTCTGTGAAGAATTTTATTAAAATCATACTAAAAATGATTGAATTCCGGCGAAGAATTGTATTATTCATGAGAATAATTGAATTCCTACAAATTCGACGAATTTTATTGAAAATGTACTGAAAATTATTTAATTTCTTTATAGAATTTGAGAAAAATTTTTGAAAATAATTGAATTCCCACGAAGAATTTTATTATTCATGAGAATAATTGAATTCCTTCAAAGATTAAAATTGCATTGACAATATAATTTAATTTCTTATCTCATAGAATTTTATTAAAATTATATTCAAAATAATTAAATTTATCTAAAGTATTTTATTACTAATCAAAATAATTGAATAATTGGGAAGCAGGGTTGACACGCTTTTGCTCATTTCAAATTCCCTGACTTTTCCAGGTTTTCCAGGTTAAAAACGGAATTAAGTTGATTATTATAGCGATTGAGAGCGCTGTTGTATGAATGAGTTTTGAGTTCTTGGTTAGCAAGCGTCACGAGCTGCTTCTGTGTAAAATGTTTAATCTTTACTTTTGATTACAATAAATTAATGTCTAATATTCATTATGTCATGTTATTAAAGAATACCCCTACAATTTTGGGAGCACGTCCAAAATGGAACTATTCCTTTTGTGAAGTTTAAGTGTCGAATAATAAAATATCGAACGAAAGTGACGAGAAAAAGTTGCAGTGAAAATGCGTGGCGTTTTTTACGAAAAGAAAATTGGCTAACCAAGAAAGACGATAAAAAAAAGAGCTAGTGCTAAATTATTTATTTATGAGTTAACGTTGAAATATAATGTGGAATTAAAATTGTGTGCGTGTTCCTCATTAAAAAGTTTACTTTTAAAAGTTGAGAAGACGGCCATTTTTATTGAAATGGAATAGACGCCCTTCAAGGAAGTCGACGAGTAACGACGAAAGACGCAATAAGCCGAATTATAACGACGGAAGATTTACATAAGCTAGTGTTTGAACAAGACGGCGATAGAAATAATCGAAAAAGATTGCGCGATTTTAGAGGATTTGAGTTTGGTCAAGATTCCGACGAATTTAATGACAAGTTAGTGTTTGCAGCAAGGCTTTCCATAGCTGAGTTAACGTCAATTTGTAACATTCTTGGACTGGACTATACAGGAGATAAGGAAGCATTGTGAGTTCGCATAATAAATAGTCTCACGGATTTAAATTCCCTTGTTCGTAATGACGATGCAGAAGAAGACGAAAGTAGTAATGATGACGGAGACAATGATGAGGAAAATAATGATGACGAAAACAACGATGACGGAAATAATGATGGCGTAAACAATGGTGGTAGAAATGGTGAAGTCGTCGACAATGACGAAAATGAGGTAGATGAGGTTAATCGAAGGATGCAAAATCGAAGACGAAACGAAGACGACTCAAATGTTAAATTTACTATGAGTTTTAAAGACGTAGAGGAATCTATTCGACCATTTAATGGCAGTGACAGTTACTCCATCGAGCGCTGGATTTTGGATTTTGAGGACGCAGCGGGAATGTTCAAGTGGATTGATTTGCAGAAGGTTGTTTTCGCAAAAAAATCGTTGGAAGGTTTAGCGAAACTTTTTGTTCAAGGTGAAAATGGTTTGAAGTCCTGGAAAAAATTAAAAGACGCACTCTTAGAAGAATTTCCAGTGAAAATTACCAGTATTCAACTACATAAGATGTTAGAACAACGAAAAATACGTAAAAGTGAATCAGTGCAGGAATATTTCTTAGTTATGAAGGAACTTGCTTCAAGGGGAAGTATTGAACTCGAAGCTTTATTCGAGTATGTTATATCCGGACTGTGTGACGATTCCAATACGACGATTATTCTTCGTGGAGCAAAAACGATTCGTGATTTTAAAGAAAAGCTGAAAATTTATGAAACAATACGGACTGATAATGAGCGAAATGTGAATGTCGCTGAGAAGGAAAAGTTCGAGTCGAAGAAGAAGACGTCAGATTTTAAGAAGTATCCATCTGGAGCAGCCTCATCGCAGAAGACGAAGCCTGCCTCAGGAGAAGTTCGATGTTACAACTGCGGCGTTGTGGGTCATCGATCAAAGGACTGTGGTAACAAATCTTTAGGGAGAAAATGTTTTAAATGTAATCAATTTGGTCATGTCGCATCGCAGTGTTCTCAGGTAAGGTCGTCCAATTCAAATGTAAATATTATTAATTGCTCGACGAATGACGTATTTAAAGATGTTTTAATTGAAAATGTTACAGTAAGCGCTTTCTTCGATACAGGTAGTAACATAAGTATGATTCGTGAAGATGTTGTCAATTCGATCCCAATTCGAGATATTCATAAATTGAAACACACTGTGACTGGATTTGGCAAAGGAGAAACTACCGCTATGGGTTATGTTCAGACTGTTGTATACATCGACGATTCAGATTTTCCGATGACATTGTACATTGTTCCATCCGACGCCATGGAAATGAAAGTAGTTATAGGACAAGATATCTTTCAACTAGCAGAACTTAAATTTGATGGAAGCAGCGTTAATATTACTAAAAAATCACCAACTGCTTTTTTAGCCGACATAACTGTAAATGAGACGACGCAAAATAATATTGGACCTGTTTCCGATAAGATTAATCTTAAGAAGGTAGAATCTTTAATTTCTAATTATAAACCAAATAAGAGTAAGTCGACAAATATTAATATGAAAATAATTTTAAAAGAAATTAAGACTATTTTTCAGAGAGCACGACGATTACCTTTGTCCGAGCAGGAAGTTGTTAGAGATCAAATTCTTGAATGGATTAAATTAGGAATAATAGAGCCGTGTTCAGCAGAGTTCGCGAGTCCTATTGTCTTAGTTCGCAAAAAAGATGGAACGTATCGCAACTCTCCTGCCGTTTTCCAAAGATTTGTAAACGAGATTTTTCGACCATTAGTAAAAGAGGAAATATTGCAGATTTATTTTGACGATATAATTATTCTTGCTAGTACAGAAGATGAAGCTGTTGAAAGACTAGAAACGGTAATGCAACATGCTAGCGAGTACGGTCTTGAAATCAATTTTAAGAAATGTCAATTTTTAAAGATGCGCGTCGAATATTTAGGCCAGATAGTTGAAGATGGGAAAGTTTACCCTTCTCCAAATAAAGTTAAAGCTGTTGTAAATTATCCGGAACCAAAGTCGCTTAAAGATATTCAAAGTTTTCTCGGGTTAACCGGTTATTTCCGGAAGTTTATCGAAAATTACAGTTTTATTGCTAGGCCATTGAGTGATCTTTTGCGTAAAGATAAAGAGTTTTCTTTTAATACGAACAAACGAAATTGTAACAGGAAGTATTTTTGTGTCTCCTTATTTATAAAATTATTTAGTGTCGATTGAATTATTTTATTGAACCTCTAATAGATTGACGACATACGATCCAGGGTTGCCATGGCAACGACACTGCGCTCGCGTAGCCGGAAAATTCGGCAAGTGCGCGACAGGTCGAGGCTGATCACTTTTGGATCGTTCGTCGACTAGGAATCTAGTATCATTTTAATTGTGATTATTTTGCGAAAGATTTATTAGTAATTAAAATTATTGTGAGTGTAAAGAATTGGCCAATTCAGAGAGTTTGTTTGAGAGACAGAGTATCATCGTAATGTAAGTAGATTATCTGTGAATATATATCTTTCAGTTGACACTCTCGTTGGTTTTAATTTATAGGGTTCCCCCATGTTATCCCCCCTGAGATAATATTAAATTATTAAAAAGTAAAGTAATAGAACATTTTATTTACCGTCGACCTTCAGTCGACTGGCGCCCGTGGTTTGTTTCATATAATTGTTAACTTTGAACCCACACAGCTTAGAACCCGGCCGCGTGTGGTGTGGAGTTTTGATTTTGATAATTAAATATTTTAAATAATAAAGACTCCTGTTTCATTTGGCGCCCAACGTGGGGCCGTTGGGATTTATTTTTATTATTTTGTAATGTTACTGTGAAAATTCAAGTTTTAATTAGATGTTTAAATTTTTTAAAGTGTCGAATTTTATTTTGTGTAGTAATTTGGAAGCTATATTTTAGTTCTAAATTCAAGTCGTTTTATCTTTTGTGCTGCCGTGTTTATGCCAATGAGTGTGACGAACATAGCATTGTCCTTTTGTGTTTACAAGTTCAGATCCATCGTATAGGTATGTGTGTCTGATGGACAACAGATATTATTGACGATTAATTTAATAACGAAATAAATTTGACTAAGAAAATTTTATTAAAGCTGAACTTTATAAAATTGAATATGAAAATTATTAATATTTTAATGAGTAAAATTTAATAAAACGATCCAAAAGCCAAATTGTGTTGTCAACGAGAATTTTATTTTGTATTTTTTTGTAGAAGATTTTTGTTGTAAAGTGCTTGTATGTTGCTACAGCGAACGACTTTTATTTTCTATTATTTTGTAAGATTCATTCGTTGACGGGAAAAGGACAAGTGATATTTTCTTGTGTATAGATTATTAGCCATTTGTGATTTTGCCGGCAACCACGTGTGAGTGTTTGTCGACTATACATTGCAGTTACTATATCTATATCGGCTGGTGGATGTGTTTGAAGCCACCCGTGTATGGACAATACGTGAGTGTTTTGTCTAAAGTAGTGTTATTGCTTAAATCTCTGCATCAGATTATATTCTGATGGTAGAAAATAATGAATTTTTTTTTTGCTCGGTTTAGATGTTGCTCTGATCGTGCAAATAAATTGTAAATGAAATTTTAGTGATTTTAATTCGTTTCAGTTAAGATGTTGCTCTGACTGTTAAGGGATTAAAATTTATTTTTATGGTTAATTATTTATTTCGTGCTATTAAGGTTTGGTACGGGTAAAGGGGAAGTTAAGTGAAAATTGTTGAAATCGGGTGGCTTGGAGCAGACCGCTTTTCGATAGAGTGCAATATTATATGGTTATTGTAAATTTTTACTTAATTGTTTTTTTTAAAAAAGTATTGACTATTAATTGTGAAATTATATTTTAAACTATTAAGATTTTTTTTTCTTGATCGGACTTGGATGCTTTTCACTTGACTAAAGTGAGGCTTAATTTTTTTTTGCTCTCAAATGATAATATAATTTTTTTGTTTTTTTCTTGAATGGGATTTCCTATCACTTGTGACATAATAAACATCTTCTTTGCTTTTAATTTTGACAACTTAAAATTTTCTTTTCTATTCCTTGCTTTCTTCTCTTTTCTATTCTTTCCTTATTATTTCTTTTTCCTTCTCTTATTTCTTTGATAAAAAAAAACGACATAGTGATTGGGAAGTTTTATTCGGAACATAAGCGAATTTTTTTTTTTTGACGAATAAATTTTTCTTTCTTTTTCTTCTTTTTTATGAATTGTTTAAGGGGGAATTAAAATTTTTTTTCTTTCTCTCTTTTCTTTTTTGTATTATTTTGATATAGGAAAAGGGAAAACTTGACAGCATAATATTGGGCCTCTTGTCGGGTGATCGACTTCGAATATTTTTGGGAATTATTGCTGATTTAATAAAGAAAATTATTTTTTTTTTATTTCGAAATTTTTTCTTTTTCCTTTCTTCCAAAATAGAGAAGTTATAAAACCGACGGAATCTCATTTTTTATATTGGTTGCTGAAATTTGGATTGGCTGGACGTCTGTATTGACAGAATTTTTTTTTTCTCTCTCTCTCTTCAATAAAGATCTCCGTTATAGTAAAAAATTTTTTTTTTAGAAAATTTTGTGTTTTGATTTTTTGAAAATTTTTTTTTCCTCGAACTTCGTCAATGTATCATACACCACCCAGAGATCAGGCCTTCGGGGGCCCACCATCTAACGCAGTAAATAATGAGAATTTTGACGATGCAGATTTTCTTGGTTTTAGAAACGCGGGTGATCAAACTTTTGCAATGCATACTATTCAACAAAGACCTGAGAGATTGTCCTTAGAAAGTACGGCATCGGGGATCGGAAGGGGAAGGGGACGATTACGTAGAACCAATACCCCTGATTTAAACCCGGGGCTTGACAGCGGCCTTTCTCTACAGGTTGGGAATTTAAATAATAGAGTTGGGGAATTAGCCTTGCAAATAGATCGCATTCTGCAGCAATTGCACATCCCGGGTAATCAGCAGTTCGAAGGGGGAGGGGCACAACCGCCATCTCAGTTGTCTATCGCGATACAGACTGATCGAGTTTCTCAGCGTTCATCGGGCACGGTCGGATTGGTTAGTGATGAGAGTCGACCTTCGGATTTTCTAAATCAGGACATTATAACTGATGGGCGACAGTCTAATCCCAATAGCAATAATTTAATTAGTCCCAAAAATCTTGAAGGAAATCCAATATTAGACCCTCAAGAATAGTTGAATGATCAGGAAGCGAGAAGCGTTCATTTTAGAGATCGAGTTACTTCCAATCAATCGTCGTCTGCAAATATTCCGAGATATATTCGTATCGTTATCGGTAGACCCTTACCTGACGGTCGAATTGTCGACGAGGAGGTTTATATGACCGAAGCAGAATATAGGGAAATAAACACCAATTCTCGAGCATTTAATATGAATAGAGGCCCTTATAATCAACGCTCTAATCGGGGTCACGATTTGGCAAATAGCGTGGCTTCTGGCCAACGAGTGGGTTCACTGTTTTCCGGTCGAAACGAGGAATCAAGCGAAGACGAATTGACGCTTGATGATGTTAATAATCGCTCTACAAGGGGTGGCTCTGTAAATAACGGAATAGAAAATGGGGGTGACCCAATAAGGATTGGTAAAATTGTCGACTCATGGAAAATCTCTTTTCCCAAAACAGAAAAAGATCCTGAGCAATTCTTATTGATTCTTAGGGACCACCTTGGTGCCAGTGGGATACATAGGGACCATTTTGTGCCTTATTTGTCCAAATTGTTCGAGGGACCTTACAAAGCTTGGTATCTTGTTAATAAAAGATCTTGGCGAACGTGGAGGGAATTCGTGAAAGCCTTTCGTTATGAATGGGGGGTAAAAAAATGCGATGCTGATTTACTCCTAGAAATCCGAGACCTTAAATTAGATAAAAACGAGAGCTTAGCCGAATTTGCTTGCAGAGCTCGACTTATTTTCGAGCAAATGCAATATCCACCAGAGTTCCGTGAGCAGTTGAAGCAAATATTGACAAAGTTCAATCCGAGATTAACCTTCGAGATATTGAATTTGTCTTTGTGTGATTACACTGAGTTCCTCCATTACGTAAACGAGCGAAGCTATCTATATCAGCGATCCATCGATAGTCAACCGAGTCGCGCAAAATTAAGTAAACCGCGTTTAAACTATGTTCAAGACGTCGAGGAATCAGACTCGGATTCCGGCGATGATCTGAATTCAAAATCGGATGAGTCCGATGATGATTCAACAGTAGAATTGAAAGCTATTGGCGGTAATAACTCGAAGGGTGCGCGTTCCGACCACAAGTCGTCAAAAACTAGATCGTTAACTCGTAATCGATTAGAAAATAATTTGCAAAAATACGACGAATCAAAATATAAAAGAGATACGCCTTATAATGAGAAATCGGGAAATGACTTTAATAAAAAATCAGTAAAATCCGAAAATATATCTAAAACTTTCGATCGAGAAAAATTGTTTTGTTTTAATTGTGGTGAAAAAGGTCACGGTGCGGCATATTGTAAAAATACTCCACAAGTTGTATGTTGCCTTTGCAAAAAAATCGGACATTATAACAAGAATTGCCCTGATCAAACGGGAAACGAACAGCGCCCTCAGTAGTTGTTCCTCAAACTATTGTACCAAAGGGCACGATTGAGGAAAAATCGTTTTTCGGGGATAAGAATCTTGTAGAGTCGGAAAACATCGCGAATATAAAAGATTTCGAGAAATCTGATAATCTTGAACGGGTGATTCAGAATCCACTCTTTCTCGAATTGTTTGATGAGGTAAATTCTGATTGCGAATTTGAAGGTAGGGACGAAGAAGTCGAAAATTTAATTTTAGAAGGTGTTGAAAGTTATGGGGATAAAGTTTCTATTTCGACTCTGAGCGAAAACAATGGCGATGCCACTAGTGATCTTGAAGATAGTCATAAAATCTCGTATAAATCATGGAAACCGACTCTTTTGCCATCTCACCTTTATTGTCGACTTTCCCAGCGTAGAATTTATCGTTCCGGTAATCCTCTTAAAGAACCAAAAACAACGGTTAGAATCCCGGTAAATATTATTATCTTTGGCGAAAAAATTCAGGGAATTATCGACAGTGGAAGCGAAAGATCGTTTCTTAGTAACTCTGCTTATCAAAGAGTTAAACATTTTCAGGTTGACGATTTAAAAGAGGATTCTTCTTCAAATAAGGGCGTACGATTAGGCGACAATTCGGTTGTCAAATCTAAGGGAGGTACGGGTTTTGTTATCGATAT